TGTCTTGTTATTTCTTCTTTTCCTTCGGGCAAACCCCCAAAACACAATATTTTCAGATTTCGTTGTACTTCTCGCATGTTGAACGACAACTGACCGTGCGCATTGAACGGGTAGCCGATCTTCCTCCACGTGCTGATGGTTCGCCAAGGAATCCATACGTGAAGATCTTTCTTCTGCCGGATCGAAGGTGATATCAGTTTAGCACCACATATTGTACTTTAGCCCCTGCAGTCAGCTAGATTTCATTTATTTCATTTTCATTTGCATTATATTGGACGTGGACAATAGCCAATAGTAACAGACAAACAAAATCTTAAAAAAACAACACAAAGAAAAAACCAGCTCAGATAAAAACCGATTATTGCTTCTACGCTCACATATGCAGACAGTAACTACAACACTTCAAATGAAATCACCGACCCGCCTCTTGAAAGTAGCATATTTCAAAGGGAACACATTCGAACGTAAGAGCGAATTGAAGTTGTGAGCAACATTCTATTACTGAAAAACCGACCTTTACTGACGTCCTAGCAACGTGGCACTAAGTCTGATACTCACTCCTCTTGTATTAGTAGACAGTACTTGGAAAACTGTTCAACGTCCAATTTCACTAAGCCATTCAATATTTTGTAAGCATCAGTAAATCATATCTCTTCCTCCTCCACTCGAGAGATTTAAGCCCGTACGTCGTATTCCTAACAGAACCTCTAGGTACACTTAAGAGTTTAACGCCCTTACGATACTAAAGCATTAACTCACGGATGTAAAGATTATTGCCTGAACAGATTTCCAGCGCCTGGAATATTCTTTTTTGTGTAGGGGTGAATCGTTGTACCACATTCCAGGATAGGCGAACGTAACAGCTTCATAGGAACGTAACAGAAGTGCCTGGATCCTTTGTCCGTAGGGCTTTGAATAGGTTGAACGATAAGGTATTCCGATTGCGATCTACGGCGTGCGAATTGCACCTGACGTTGAGCGCATGGAATTTTCCCCAGAATTTACCCTTTGCTATCCCAACTGCTGGAAATATTGGCCAGGTTTCGGCAGACGTTTTTTTATACCGCTTTTTGTGCCATGCTCTTAACGCGCATATATTCTCCATCCCTGAGCTGGGCTGTGTCAAGGGGATTGGCGTGTTACCAGCTTGTTCTCCGCAAGTATATCGCAGTCCTTGAGATCGGGTAGGCGTGGCTGCGTACTTGATTTTAAAATGGCGGCGGCCCAGGTTTTCGTGAGATATTTCATTTTGGAGCAGTCGTAATCATGTCTACATCTAACACAGAACAAGATAGCAGTTGTTTCAAATTGAAGTATCCCACGAGAAACCCGTCCTATGCCATGCTCAAAAGCCACGCCTACTTCGTCTCAGGGATAAGGCGTATTTGAAGGGGGCAAGCGTCTACAACTGGTGGAAATCGAGCTGGAGCCGCGCCGAACCCAGTCCTCTGTCACGATTCAGCAACCACAGGGAATAAGGCAGTACATGGTCCCCACCCTAGGAAGGAAAGACAAGAGCTTGATCAAAATCTGGCCAAAATTTCTACAAAACGGGACAGTGGAGGGCAAGGAGGGGAGGGTACCGGTCTTTTATATAAGTTTCTGAACTCCCTAGTCTAATAGTATTCGCGTGAGTCTAATAGTACTTGGGCAATGTCCTTTCTCTAACTTAAAGTCGTACTGCAGAAGAACCTTAACTGCATGCGCATGGTGTGTTGTCCGCACGCGGTTGGTGATCGTGAGTAATCGACCAATCACGAGGCCCTAGCAAACTCCTCCTCCTCTCTCGCACCACTTAAATGCTTGCATCATGTTCTAGGCTCATAACACTGAATAAACATGAGGAATCCCAGAGTGAAACAGAACCCAGAAGTTCTATTTTCAGTGAGAAGTCACGTCGTCAAACCACCGTGCTCGCCGAAGCAATCACTCCCATTTGGAACGAGTCATTTTACTATCAGGGAATCACCGAACCGATGCTCATGGAACGAGTCTTAGAGGTTGCATGCGAGAGTTTCCAAAAAACCAGTTCAGTGGTTTATGGACGAATTTCAGGTTACTGTATGGGACTATGACAAGTTTGAGGCGAACTCGTTTCTCGGTGAAACATTAGTGGATTTCTCGACAACGTCATTGGATGGACAGACAATGACGTTACCGCTTGTTGACATGGACGACGAGAATCCCCTACGGCTTGTATGTTGCTTATAATTAGATTTAAAAATAGTTTTTACCATGCTTTTGCAATAATATACCCTGTTGGTGGTGTTCGGCTTGGAGGGGGCATTTCGCATTTGTGCTAGTTTCTTTTCTTCGTTCATGTCGACTGATAGTCCCAGATTAGGTCACTCCTGCGACTGTTTACGGTGTAGTGCGCGCGAGCCGTTTTGGTTGCAGGATTTAACAAGCCTTTTCAAGCATGTACAAGCTCCGTTCGGAGCCCTCACCAAGCCGTACTCCGCCCACCTTATTGTCTGGGGTATAAGCTTACATCGCTCCCATAAGTTTCGGGTCTAGATGTTCAAAAATTTTTAAAAAAGTCGCTGTAGATGTCTTGTTCCAAAAAGAGTAGATGAAATTGTAGAAACGTTAGAGAACCTCTCAAGTCGAGTTCTAAAGTCTTTTGCAATAGATTTTTGCAT